TAGCTCTAATTGAGTTCTAAATTTCGGAGGCTAGTTCGTATTGTGTGAATTTTACCGGATTTTCGAAGTTGGTCAAAAACCAACCCCGAAACTGTCTTAATGGTCCAAAGCAGCAACCTTGAGTCAATTTTTGAACACCTTCCGTTTGGAATCATGGAAAAGTATCTTCTAGGAACTTTTAGTGCTTTTGAAGAAGTTTCCAACGGTATCAAGCTTTCCAATTTTGGACCTACATAGTGCAAGATACGATTTTTCTAAAATTGACACCCAAAGCTGAAATTTGTCAATTTCTTAGAAAATGAGATTTTGGAAACTTGCCTTCTTTTCTCAATACCGATTGAACATTTTGAACTCGATTTCATGGAAAATGTTAGTCTCTCTCTTTAGACTTTAAAACTTTACTCTTGAGCCTTGATTATTAATAATTAAGGCCCAATTCATGAATTCTCCTTAGATTGTACAACCTTCTTTGATAATTAGGGGTTCTAAGTGATTGTGTATAATAGTTAATGGTTATTTGTTCAGGCGCTCAAGGGGACCTTCAAGAGGAACTCGAAGTGGACGCCTAGACACTTGTTTGAGTATTTACTCTCTTGTTGCAATAGGTGAGTGTTCCATATAGGAATACGTAATTTAATAAGTCTAGGACATGCTTATTCATGATTATTAAGTACTAAGTACTATGTGTTAAGTATTTACAATACTCATGCCTATATAAATAATGTATACTTGCAGTGCATATCGACATGAATTGGTTAAATGATTAACCATATCAAATGAACATATGAACTCGATACATGCCTAGCTTGCTAGATTGCTTGCCTAGCTTACTTGGTTAAAGTGTTTTCGTGACTTGATATGTGATAATTGGAAAAATGATTTCTGATCCATCGAAGTGAGCAGTGTGTATTTTATCACACTAGCCTTTCGAGGGGTGACTTATGTGAAATGTTTTCGTGAATACCTCAGGTGTTGTGACGTCGTTAGATGAATCCCTCGACTAGTTGCTTGCGCTTGCCTAGTGTTGGACATAAAGTCGTTGGAGTGAATCTCCTCGACTCTCACATGATAAAAATAGGATAACGGCCAATGATGGCCCATTAATATGGCAAATGCAGGTCAATTAACCGTTAACCGTTAACCGTTTACCAACCCACATGACTACCTGATTACTTGACTATTTGCTCACATGATTTCAATCCACATGATTATTTGATATCCGTGAATTACATGCTTCTATGAAATCAACTTGTATTGCTTACGTGCTTACGTGCTAAGTATCCACTTGATTACTTGATTATCATGAATCACATGTTATATGAAGCTGTCCACCATTGTTAGGCGAGTGTGTACTTTACCTCACTCGACCTACTCAAATGATGAATTTTACCTTTGATCGAATTACTTGGTTACCTGTGCATGTTGTAAGATCTAAGCTGAACTTGGACCCTGCCCTTGGTTACCGACCTACTCGAGCCAGGACTAGGCTCGGTTGGGTAGGTTGTAACCCTGGGCCACCGTTTCGGTATACTCGAATATTACCACTGGAGGGATAAGGTGATGGCCAGTCAAACCGAGGGGATCCGGAAGTCATAAGGTGCAGATGACCGACAGAGTTCCACTGGAACACCGTATCCTATCGTATATGTTTACCTTGTATCATGATAATTGTTTCATGCTAAAATGTCAACATGAAATCCTGAGTTATGCCTGTGATATGCTCCATACCTGTTACCTGACCAATGTACTCATACCATGATACCTATCTCTTGATAAATGTCTCATACCATGATAAATGTCTCAAATTACTCGTACAATGATTATCACCTCATGATAACATGCCATTGTGCAACCTTGAACCATGCATATGATATACCCAACTTGCTTGATTTATTTGAACTGTTAGAGTGTTTTGGAACCTCACTGGGCTGTGTAGCTCATCCCACGTTGTGGTTTTCTTTTACAGAGTTCGAGACCAAGGGTGCTCGTGAGTAGTATTAGATTGTTTTCTTTTGGAGACTTTAAGTTATATTATAACGGATGGCTATTGTACCCTTTTCCGTTGGGTTGTATTTAAGCTTGAAAGTTGCATAATTGTAAGTGTGAGATATTTGAAGTATTTTAATTATGTATTGAGGTTACTTAAAGTATTTCGAGCTTTTGAATGATGGATTGTGGTGAGTCCTGGCTAGAGTTGGGCAGACGTCCCGTGGATACCCTTTGGTTCGCCTTAGGGAGAAGTGGGGGCGTCACAGTTGGTATCAGAGCTTAGGTTTCAAATCTTTGTAGTGTATCCTAGGCTTAAATGTTTAGGATGCCGGACTGTGGGACTAGTCTGAAAGTTAAATGATTGCTTGTAGCGATGAAATTTAGAGTCACTTCACGTGGTCTCTACAAAGGAGCAAGATAGGGCCAAGTGGTGTTATGGTCCTTCCTATGTGATTGAGTAAAGACTTAAGTGTCTTTCTAGAAATATAAGCTGTGAATCATGAATGTTATAGGTTGTAAAACCTTTATCTTGATAATTGGAGGGAATTTAATATGTATGTTGGGTAGGAATCTCGAATGTGATGATTTACTCTTGGGACCGGCCGGCTCGAGTTGTGAATTACCTTATTTTGGATTCTTGTACCTGAATACTTGAGGATGGAAAGCAACCCTAAGGGCTTGACATCTCCATTTATGGGGAATAGGAATGAATTGATATTTAATGAGAATGGTTACAGGGAACCACTAATTGTTTGGTTGGGTGGCATAATGATTAAGAACGGGAGATGAAAAATATCGTAACCCAAAAGATCCTTGTGTTTGGATTGAAATCGAGCATGTTAGGGAACGAGAATCGTCTAGTTCCAATTAATCTAGTGAATCTCTACTTGTGATCTTTCATAGTGAGACGATGGGGGTAGAACTTAAGAGTTGCGCCTTGGAGATGAATGTACTTGTGATAATCACTTGTTTATTTTTGTTATTGACTTTGACTTGGCATGAACTTTACTTGGCCATAACTTGTTTTATGATTTAATGAACTCTAATTTGTGTTTACTTGCATAGTGATAATGATATTTATATATGTGATTTCTTTTCCTTTAAAGGTTGTTATTGGCATATATGTGTAGTTCAACTATGGCTTAGTGTGAGATTTATACATATGTGTATAGATTAGTTGTGAATATGAAAACTAGAGGACAACGAAAGGGACGTCAACCTAGACAACCCCGAAATGAAAGAGTAGCTAATGGATCCGATATTGATCAAAACGTTGAGCCAAGTGTTGGGAGAGGAAATGATCAAATGGGACAAGTTTTAACTCGCATGACGGATATCCTAGAACTCTTAGTAGCTCAACAAGGTCAAGGTGTTGGACAAGGAAACCAACGTGGAAACCAAGAGATAGGGGAGGATCGAGTTTTAGAGCGGTTTCAAAAATTTTCCCCGCCCAAGTTTGCTGGAGGACCTGATCCAGAGGTGGCTGAGAATTGGTTAGAAAATATAAGAAATATATTCGATGCCTTGGATTACACCGAGGAGAGACAAGTCACCTTTGCTATATTTCAACTTGAAGGAGCAGCCCGAGCATGGTGGAATGTTATAAGAAACAAGTGGGAAAGGGATCAAACCCTAAGGACTTGGACAAACTTTGTGCGTGAATTTAATGAGAAATTTCTTCCTCCACTTGTCCAAGAAAAGAGAGAAGATGATTTTATAAAGCTTCGTCAAGGAACTTTGAGCGTAGCTGAGTATGAAACACGCTTTACGAAGTTATCTACATATGCCCCAGAATTGGTGGCTACTGAACGGAAGAGAATAAGACGGTTCATCCAAGGATTAAATTTAGAGATCCAAGATGCCCTTGCCGCAGCACAGGTTGAAACATTTAGTGACGCTCTCGAAAAAGTGCAAAGGGTAGAAAGCACAAAATCTCAACTGAGAGCTTTTCAAGCAAGGAAAAGAGATGCATCTGATAGTACACTAGGAGGAAATGGACCACCACCCAAAGTTAGAAAATGAGTGGATGGAGTAGGACTATCACTTCCTGCACCACTCATGATAAAGGAACCAAAAGGGACTACGTCCCAAAGAGCTCCAGTAGGACAAATGCAGTCAAAGAGGACCTCATCAGCAAGTCAGGTCACAGTGTCTCGTCCAACCTGTGGATATTGTGGAAGGGCGAATCATATTGAAGAAAACTGTTGGCTAAAGGGACAAAAGTGTATGGGGTGTGGAAGTACCAACCATAAAGTTCATGACTGTCCAAGGAGGTATCCACGAGAAACTACTGCTCAACAAGGAAATGGAACTGTCTCTCGACAAGTCAATGGAAGGAGAAACCGACCAGTGGCATCTGAAAGAACGCATGACATGAACACACCACACGGTTCAGAGTTGTCTGAGATTACAGAAGGTATGAATTTCGAGGACGAAATTCTTTTAAAGAGGGGAGGTTGTGAGGATTCGCAAAATTTACTTATTTAATCTCCTATTTCTCGCTTATTTAATTATTTATTTGGCCTTTTACTCTGAATATTATTTTCTAATCTCTTGAGACCTAATTACATGAAAATATAGTTTCATTATATTTTTAAAATGACTTGTTTCAAAAATTAATTTCCGGAAGCTCGTTTAGTGAAAATAGTGAACACATCTTTGGAAATCTTGACCGATTTAGAGTACAATAAGTTTGGAATATTGGAGACATGTACAATGGACCTAAATTAGGTATCTTAATGTTTAAATACTCAAGTGATAGTTATTAGTACTATCGTTATAAGAATTTCTCGGAAGTTTCGCGTTATTGCGCTTAAATTGGAGATACGCGTTTTCACACGTGCGATTTAAATTGAGGAACGTTAGACCCTTATTTTGGGACAATTGAGAGTGAATAATATTTATATGAATATAAGGGCATTAGAGGTTTAGTGCACTAGTGAAACAAGCGCGAGAGGAAACGAGCACGCGCGCTATTGAAAGGTTGACTTTTGGAACCAATTTTGGCCACAAATATCAAAGATTCCTACGGAAGCTTATCATCAGCCACCATTCTTCTTTTCCTTCTCAAACCAGCCATGCAACACCAAGAGAAGGAGACCAAAATTCCTTCTTCATTCACCTCTCAAACTTGCACCAAATCATTTGAAATTTCTACCACAAACTCACAACAACTTGGAGATTCATCTAGGCAAGGAGAGGAGCTTCATTTCCACGATTTTCTTGAGACTCAAAGTGACCAAAAATTTCTGATCTAGTCATCCAAGAAGGTAGCAAATCATCCAACCCATAGATCTTAGTTTTTGTAAGATATATTGCACATATACGGTTATATAATCATGTGGGTAGCTTTGTTTATGGTGCAAAATGAAATGGGTGGGCTCTATGAACTCCCACCTTTGTCTTGGGGACTGATATCATGCTTGATGATGGATTTAATGTTGGTTTAGTGCTCAAAATGGTAGATTAATGGTGTATAACTAGTAGAAACTTCAAGGAGTGCATGGAGTAAAAAGTGACCGTTTTACCCCTGCCTTGTCCGACCATTTTTGTGCAAAATTTTGAGGTTCTAATGACTTGATTATGTTGTTTACATGTTATTGTGAGAGTGTACAAAATTTCATCGAAAAATAATATGATTTGGTTGGTCAAATGAGTTGATTTCCAAAGTCAGGAAAATTGGAAAATGAATCCCGTATTGGCCAGGCAGTCATTTTGTATCGACCATAACTCTTTGCTCCGATGTCGAAATCAAGTGCCGTTTGCGGCACTGGAAACTAGACATTCCCAGATTTCCATTGGTACCAATATTACATTCTGGTTCCACTTGAGTGAGCCACACCATTCGATTGAAAATCACTGTCCTGTTTCGTTGCTCTCCAGGAGACAGGACAGAAATTGCTTCTAGATGCTAAAAAACAAGCTGTTTGTGAATGGAATTTGAAAATGGTTTCTTCTGAGAAAATTTAGCTTTATAAGAGAACTTTCCAACTCCATTAACCACGCCCAATTCCAAGTTGAATTGAGTGAGTTGTGGCCAATGTTTGAAACTGCTACAGTGATAGAATTTTCCACTTGGACAGATTTGTAACTAACAATGATTTGGGACTTGTTTTCTGAAGTTTCTTGGTATAAATCACCTATCAAATGTACCTTAGACATTATCTACTGAAATGAACCGTGTTTGAGGTGTTTCATTGGCCAAGCGTTTTGAAAATGGAAAAACGGAAGTCCAAGGCAGATTTGCCGAGGAACTTCTTGGGACTTTAGTGATTTCGTTAACCAACTTTACGAATGAATTTTCCTACGAAATTTGGTAGAGAAATAGCCCTTATATGGTAGGATAATACTGCCAAATTTGGTGCCATTCCGAGTCCATTTCGATGTTCAATCAAAGTCCCAAAGTTGTGAATTAAACCTGGAATTTACGTAACAGTTTCACATTTTCACTAACTTTGAATTACCATATCTTCGTGCTCGAAACTCCGTTTCTCATTCCGCTTGTTTTGTTATACTCTTGGATTGCAACACTATTTGATTTCCAAATTTCAAAGGTTAGTTCAAAACAAATGAATTTTTTCGAATTTCCAAAGTTGGCCAAAAACCAACTTAAATTTGTCTTGGTAATGCAAGTTACCAACTTTGAGCTACTATATCTTGGCGCTCAAAACTTCGATTCTTGTTCCATTTGTTTCATTTTAAACTTTGATTGTAGCTCTAATTGAGTTCTAAATTTCGGAGGCTAGTTCGTATTGTGTGAATTTTACCGGATTTTCGAAGTTGGTCAAAAACCAACCCCGAAACTGTCTTAATGGTCCAAAGCAGAAACCTTGAGTCAATTTTTGAATACCTTCCGTTTGGAATCATGGAAAAGTATCTTCTAGGAACTTTTAGTGCTTTTGAAGAAGTTTCCAACGGTATCAAGCTTTCCAATTTTGGACCTACATAGTGCAAGATACGATTTTTCTAAAATTGACACCCAAAGCTGAAATTTGTCAATTTCTTAGAAAATGAGATTTTGGAAACTTGCCTTCTTTTCTCGATACCGATTGAACATTTTGAACTCGATTTCATGGAAAATGTTAGTCTCTCTCTTTAGACTTTAAAACTTTACTCTTGAGCCTTGATTATTAATAATTAAGGTCCAATTCAGGAATTCTCCTTAGATTGTACAACCTTCTTTGATAAGTAGGGGTTCTTAGTGATAGTGTATAATAGTTAATGGTTATTTGTTCAGGCGCTCAAGGGGACCTTCAAGAGGAACTCGAAGTGGACGCCTAGACACTTGTTTGAGTATTTACTCTCTTGTTGCAATAGGTGAGTGTTCCATATAGGAATACGTAATTTAATAAGTCCAGGACATGCTTATTCATGATTATTAAGTGCTAAGTACTATGTGTTAAGTATTTACAATACTCATGCCTATAATGATGTATACTTGCAGTGCATATCGACATGAATTGGTTAAATGATTAACCATATCAAATGAACATATGAACTCGATACATGCCTAGCTTGCTAGATTGCTTGCCTAGCTTACTTGGTTAAAGTGTTTTCGTGACTTGATATGTGATAATTGGAAAAATGATTTCTGATCCATTGAAGTGAGCAGTGTGTATTTTATCACACTAGCCTTTCGAGGGGTGACTTATGTGAAATGTTTTCGTGAATACCTCAGGTGTTGTGACGTCGTTGGGTGAATCCCTCGACTAGTTGCTTGCGCTTGCCTAGTGTTGGACATAAAGTCGTTGGAGTGAATCTCCTCGACTCTCACATGATAAAAATGGAATAACGGCCAATGATGGCCTATTAATATGGCAAATGCAGGTCAATTAACCGTGAACCGTTAACCGTTAACCGTTAACCGTTTACCAACCCACATGACTACCTGATTACTTGACTATTTGCTCACATGATTTCAATCCACATGATTATTTGATATCCGTGAATTACATGCTTCTATGAAATCAACTTGTATTGCTTACGTGCTAAGTATCCACTTGATTACTTGATTATCATGAATCACATGTTATATGAAGCTGTCCACCATTGTTAGGCGAGTGTGTACTTTACCTCACTCGACCTACTCAAATGATGAATTTTACCTTTGGTCGAATTACTTGGTTACCTGTGCATGTTGTAAGCTCTAAGCTGAACTTGGGCCCTGCCCTTGGTTACTGACCTACTCGAGCCAGGACTGGGCTCGGTCGGGTAGGTTGGAACGCTGGGCCACCGTTTCGGTATACTCGAATATTACCACTGGAGGGATAAGGTGATGGCCAATCAAACCGAGGGGATCCGGAAGTCATAAGGTGCAGATGACCGACAGAGTTCCACTGGAACACCGTATCCTACCGTATATGTTTACCTTGTATCATGATAATTGTTTCATACTAAAATGCCAACATGAAATCCTGAGCTATGCCTGTGATATGCTCCATACCTGTTACCTGACCAATGTACTCATACCATGATACCTGTCTCATGATAAATGTCTCAAATTACTCGTACAATGATTATCACCTCATGATAACATGCCATTGTGCAACCTTGAACCATGCATATGATATACCCAACTTGCTTGATTTATTTGAACTGTTAGAGTGTGTTGGAATCTCACTGGGTTGTGTAGCTCATCCCACGTTGTGGTTTTCTTTTACAGGGTTCGAGACCAAGGGTGCTCGTGAGTAGTACTAGATTGTTTTCTTTTGGAGACTTTAAGTTATATTATAACGGATGGCTATTGTACCCTTTTCCGTTGGGTTGTATTTAAGATTGAAAGCTGCATAATTGTAAGTGTGAGATATTTGAAGTACTTTAATTATGTATTGAGGTTACTTAAAGTATTTCGAGCTTTTGAATGATGGATTGTGGTGAGTCCTGGCGAGAGTTGGGCAGGCGTCCCGCGGATACCCTTTGGTTTGCCTTAGGGAGAAGTGGGGGCATCACAAGCAAAACATTATTGGTTGTCATGATCTACTTCTAAGCTGTTTAAACTTAATTTTTAGGAGACCAACTTTTGATACCAATTATAAGGTCCAAGCAACCTAAAAGGGAGGTGAATTAGGTTGTTCACAAACCAAGTAAGTAATTGCAAATATTCATCCAATAAAAATATTTCAAATGAAACTCACAAAGATATAACAAATGATTCAATTAATTTAGTGAAATTAAATAAAGATTGTACAGTTAAATAGTAAAAAGAAGAGGTAAAAGATAAAAATGCAAACCAATAAATTTCCAAGTTTCGCCAAACTTGAAGTTAAATCAACCAAGTAGTTTTTTCAATTGAGGGTGATACTAACTAACTTGTACAAGTGAAAGTTCTCTCCTTTCTCACCCTAAAGGCCTTTAGTTGATCCAAGGAGTTTTACAACTCTTCTAGTTAACCATCAATTAGTTACAATTGAAAGTTCACCCAACCAATTAAGAGCTACTTTACAAGTGAGGATCACCTTCACAAAGGTTTCATTTCTCCTTTTTGAGAAATCTCACAAACCCAAGTTTTCCCATAGTTATACAATAATCAAAGTATATTTCTACCTAAATATCACTCTTGAAAACTTGTATTTTATATAGACAAATGTCATTACAAGTTCTCGCCATTACTCCTTATGTAGCTGGTGAAAATTGGTATTAAAATGAGATCCAACAGTCAAGCACTAAATGCTGAAAAAACTAACCGTAAGACCAGTTGGATGTCTAATCAGTCGAACGGCTGATCCTTTAATGTTGTATTGGATAGCTTTGCATCAAACAAAAATAGAATGTTCAAGTTCCATCTTCATTTGCGCCAGGCGGGCGATAGGGGAAATGAGTGTATGATGGATGTGGCTAATATTCTGCTCTGTCTTTCAGATGTTTGATACTGTGCTGTGCGTCCGATCCTTCTGTCCAACAGACAACATTACTTTTCAATCTTTCTTTATTTGTTTTTCTCCTTTTTTCATTTGGCAATGTACCTGTTTTTGAAGTAAAAATATTAGTTCAAATCATCATTTTGTTTATTATTCATCAAAACATAGCACGTAAAAACATTAGTTCAAATCATCATTTTATTTATTAGTTCAAATCACATAAAAATATTTTGTTTATTATTCATCACAACATAGGTAAGTGTCAAAACCAAGTTTACCATAAACTTAGAGAAAGGTTGCTGAAATTATCCCTACGAACAATTATAGGTTATTTTAACAAGCACCTAATGACTAATTAAATGCATAGACTCACAAATATATTCTCTATTGCATTTAAAAATTTTCCCAATTTATCCCTATTTCGAAACCTTTTTTTTTTTTAAGGAGTGTATATTGAACATTCATAAGACAAATCCAATAATAATTTTTGTAGTAGAGCATGCTACATTTACAACATGGGGATGGGAAACAATTGGGTCCCAAAAGATAAAATATTTGTAGGATAAATATAGGTGGAAAGAACATCACACTTAAATTGATCATTGAAGATGACTATTTAATGTATAAAACCTAATTAAGGGTGAGAATGTAAGAATAACTGACCTTAGATTCGCATCTAATAATTGTAGGTTGTACTCTTACATTATATTAGTATTAATGCCACACTTTTTGCACTAATGACGTTAGTACTAGGCGTAGTAAATTAGTGATTATTGTGCTTTATTTTTTTAATAAAAAAGAACATAAAAATATAGGATTAACTTTTTATACACTAATATGTAGTGATTTTTTTTTACACTAACAGTTATGGATGTATGTTATATGTGCATAATTTGAATTTTAAATTTGAATTTATGCTATGTGGCAATAATCTAAACCCGCTAGTGTTAAACAATGTACACTAACAGTTATAAAAACCTTATTAAAAAATATAACCCCAAATCAACATAAGTTACGTGGATCCTGTAGATTTGCATCATAGGCCTGAAAGTTACACTTTCTTTCCGTTAATTGTTTCTACAATTTTTGCTTACCAAACTGTTGCATTAGAGTACTGTAGGATGTGATTTCACCATAAAACAACAGCTCAAACAGTACAGGTAAAGCCCCTCAAAAAAAGAAGAGTTAATAAGCTTTGCACACGTAACAAAGTTGCAAGTAGATTTTAGAAAGCTATGTGAACACCTAAAGTGGGATATATTTATGCCTATAATCTTTACGAATCAATCCAAGAGAATAAATATATTATTTGGAGATTGAGAATTATCCATAACTTAGAAATTCACGTTAACTTTGTTATTTTGTAGAGAACAAATCTTGCATTAAGGGTGCATTTGATAAAATTGAAATAAAAAAATCTGAAATTTGAAATATGAATTCATTAAATTGTTGAATTGTAAATATTGATGTCCTAATATTTGAATGCATCTTACATTAAGAGATAAGTGTATAACTTATCATCAGATCTACTTAATTAATTAAGATGTTCTATTTTTTATTATCAAACACGTCTAAATATGTTAAAATTTGAATCTATTAAGTGTAAATGATGAATTGAATTATCAAATAAGATCTAAATAATGTTCAAATTTGTACAAATGACAAAACGTGGCTGCTGGAGGAATATCTAAAACAATTACTTCAGTGCAAGATGCCAAGGAATTCTTCTAGTTAGCTTGTCAAATCAGAGGGTCTACTTCTCACCATGACAAAAGATTCAATTTAAGTGGACCTAGACATATAGTCAATGCAAGAAAACATGAAGTTGTCTCAATGTGTGATGTAACTCTCACATGCCAGAGATAGGGGGAAAAAACATAAAATCTGTAATGGCCAGAGAAAGATTTGTGGTCCCATATTTGATATGTTCCTTTGGTTAGTGGGAGTTAAAGAAAATGAAAACCTCCTCAGCTAGCTAACCGAAAACTGCAAATCAAGATTCATCGTCTTGTTTCCCCTTTTTTCGCCTGCCGACACAAATTTTACTCTTGCTTTCATCTCAAGAACAATAAAGTACATATCACCCGGACACAGAAAATGTTTGTGTGAAAGTAAAATGCTAGAGAGTGTGGAATTGTAAAGCAGTGTGACATAGGTAACTTGTTTCAACCAATCAGATATTCTTATGCATTGTTGATACATTCACAAAAACAATTCTACACACAGTGGAAGCTATAATATTTGCTGCCAACAATAAATGGCACGAGTAAAATACAGAGACTCGGCTCCTACCTATATTGAGACTATCTATGGAAAGCTACGAGATCATTCAGCATCCTAATTGACAAAAAAAAGGTTGGAAAAATAAGAAGAAGAATGTAAAAGAATTACAGATTGGCATAGAACAGAAATGGCCAACTGGAGTTCTCTGACCATAACCATAAGGGCAGATATAAGCAAGACCAATCCTTGTTAATTCCTCTTCAGCCATTGCAGCAATGAGAAAAGACTGAAATCTTACTTGAATGCGTGGAACATGTGTAAATCTGAGAAAGAAAGCATGCTAGCTGCATGTTGAAATCAGCATGTGTGCTTCTTTTTCATTTTTCCCATATTATGGAATGCTACAATATCAGCTCATTTGCTCCCCAATCAGGTCGAGACCAACAAGAAGAAATGTGACTCCTTGGAAAAGCAGAAAGTAGAAATGAACTCCATGAGCTGATAAAAGGCTTCTCACTGAAGCTGTTAACAGTAGGAAAGCAAGAGCTAGCTCCTTCCGATATATTTTATTCATTTTCTTAATCGGTGCAGGAATTGGCTTTTCCTGTTCCTTCAACTGGTTCATCTCTGAAAGTTCACTGTCAGAAGATCCCCTCATCATCTGTGAGTTGTATAGTGCTTTCATATCACTCTCAGCAGCAGCCAACAAGTCAGATTCTGAAGACCTGCCAGCCTTTTTCGTGACGACCCACTCATATGAGCTACTGAATTGGAATAGTCCAGACACCATTGCATTAAATTTAGTTACTGACATTGTGTTCTCAAAGAGGAGGTAGGGAGCAACAAAAGGGATTGACTGAGGTGCAGGAAGAATGTTGAGCAATGTCATAAGAACAGGCACGTAGCAAACAACCCACATAGGGAGTTCAGCCTCTGGGATAAACATGGTTAAAGGAAGAATGATGCAAAACAATGTGAAAGAATAGAAGGGAAGAATAAGTTTCCTTAACAGAAAGAACAGAAGTATCAAATTTGCCTTCTTCCATGTTGGAATCTGCAGTAAGTTGAGAGATTAAGATATCATCAAGGAGGACCTCACTATAAATATGAAAATTATCCACCTATTGGAGTAATTAATAGTTAATACCTTAGAAGTTATGATGGTGGGAAGGCACAGTCGAAAAAGTTGCATGGGACCAGAATGCCACCTATGTTGCTGCTTCCTGTAAGCTTCAAATGACTCAGGAACTTCACATAGGACCTGATCCAATTTCAGCAGAAAGCATATAAAGTAAATAGGTCAATACATTTGTTATAACTAGTTAGCAGGTGAAGGCAAAAACAACTTACAAGCTATTTATTGCCCATATGAAAACATGCAAGCCAAAAATAATTAGAAATGAGAAGCTTATTACACTTCTTTAGCAGAATGCTGCTTAGAAGCTATATAAATGTTTCAGCAAGCATCAAATCTCTTGTGCAATCAAATTTGCATTTAGCTGAACATTATTGCAGGTTTTCTATAGTTAGTTTGTAAAATGAAGACCAATTTTTTTCTAATGACCTAGAAATGATAGAAGAAACACGAACTTTCCTACGGAGTCTGACTAGATCGTGGACTCTATTGGGAAGTGAAGATACGCTCAGACAAATTGAGTTTCCTACTTGTTATCTCTTCAGGGAATCCTAGCTAATCTACTTAAATATCCTGTGTTATATTCTCAAGCCTGGAAAGCAAGGATGTTACAAACAGAATGTTTTCCCACTAATTAGAGTAAAATTGACTCAACAGACAAATACTACCTTAACGTCATTTAAAAATATAAATTTCCAACCATGGAGATGAGCACGAACAGCAATGTCCATATCTTCAACAGTCGTTCTTTCAAGCCACCCACCAGATTCTTCCAAGGCCTTAATCCTCCAAACACCAGCTGTCCCATTGAAACCAAAGAAATTCAAGAAAACCCCATTAACCTGCTGTTCCACCTCAAAATGGAAACACAGATTAATGTTCTGTAGGCGAGTCAACAAGTTTTCATCCTTGTTCACAAAAGCCCATCTAGCCTGAACCAATCCTAAATCAGGATTGTCCTGCATTAAAACAAAGATGGTCAGTAAAAAAGTTCAATCTACCAACCACAAACTATGGACAAGTTACATTTAGTGTAGGTACCTTAAAATATGGAACTGTATGCTTTAGGAAATCTGGGGTCGGTTGGAAATCAGCATCAAATATTGCAACAAACTCATAATCCTTAACATAGTCACAGCTCATTGCAGACTTGAGATTTCCAGCTTTATATCCAGTTCTGACCAGTCGATGCCGGTAAATTATGTTGATACCCCGCTGACTCCATTTGCTGACTTCTGATTTGATGAGCTGCTGAATATCTTCATCATCAGAATCATCGAGAATTTGGATGAGCAATTGATCTTTTGGCCAATCGAGTTGACAGACTGCTGAAATAGACAACTCATATACCTGTATGAACCAATACAGCTATTAATAAGACATGGTGCTGGAAATGGATCAATTATAACCTTTTTAACATAGTATTAAATTCACATACTATTGCAGCCTATTGTTGAAAAAGCTCAAAGTACTTCATTCAGTATGCATACTCAAGAACCACTTCAAAGTGTTTCTGAAAAGATATAAGGTGATAACAACCGAGCATATGGAATTGTGACAACGCATCCCAGGAAGACTACAAAGTTTAACATAATTTTCACATTCAAACTATTTACTACAGTTTTTCTTCTTGTTAATTTTGAATGCTGAATTCAAGTCATTAATGATGCAATTCAAAGCCTAGCACAAGGATTGTCATTAGAAGGTTACCAAGTTATCTATGATGGAATTCAAAATCTAGAAATTGCAATTCAATTAGTAGACCATACAGAGCTAACATATAGTTATGACAACGTAAGGCACAAATTAACAAAAGGTGCAGGCGATTACCTCCCTCTCATTACACATTGGCACTTGAACAAGGACCATGGGAAAATTTTTATTTGATCCCTCAAGATCATCTGATTTGAATGGATCCCCATCAATCCTTGGCTTAATCTTCTTCCACTTAATATACAGGCAACCCAGGCAAAGAACTAGTCGATCTAATGACTGAATTAGAAACAGAACAACACAGAATGTAGAAAGGCCTTGAATAGAAGGTGCTATATAATCAACCCGAAACGCCAGCCAAGAAACATAAATCATGTGAAAAAAACCTTGGAAATCAGAAGAATTGGGAATGTACAAATTTGGGTTCTCAAAGTAATGCCAACCTTTCAAGTAAGCAACTACCTCAAAGGTCAGAAACACCAAGGAAGTAGCTAAAAATGCTTTAATTATATTCAACAACAATTTTCCTTTGCCCAGCTTCTCACTCGCAAGACCTACTCCCTGCCTGAAAATCAACCTCCTCTGAATAGTTCCCAGCAGTGCCCAAAGAATAGTTGCAAGCCAAGCAACACCACTAACGGCACGGTTGGCCTTAAGAAGCAATACCCAAGTGACTTGCTTGGCATTTTTCCCACGGCTCTTCTCAACTGGCCTGAATGCAGTATCAGGGCTGTCAATTTCCACAATGGAATAGTTGGGATTCTCCATTTTCACAATCACTGGTGTTCCCTTTTGCGAGTCCTTCCCCGACCAGCTAAAAAAATCCAATATTGGAGCCATTCTCTTACTATTCAAAAAAAAAAAAAGGACAGCTGAAATCCTGCCCACAACTGTATGAACCGAAACACAGTGAACCCCTCACAACACCAGATCTCAAATTTCTCCTGTGCATAAGAATTTGCACAGGCAGCAAATCCTAAAGACTTGAGAACTCAAGAACCCATTTTAGGCCATCCAATTTAAAAAACAATGCAGCAGAAAGAAAAGCCAAAAGAATGGTTTTTGGAAGATTCTTTGCACGCTCTCAAAGGCTACTCTTCAGTTGAGAGATACTAAACAATGGGAAGAACCCTTATAGAGAAAGGTATCTGCCATCTACTTCCAGCAGTAAAACCTTTTTGGTATTTTTCAGTACAACCTTTTAGTCCAAAGACCCATAACAATTCCAACTTTAACATTCCAAGATTTACCACTCAGTAAATGACACTAAAGATTATGCTCTCTTAGTATAGTGTTCTGTTGCTTGGTCTAGAAAACAGTTTCAGGTGTTGACTAAGTTTGACTTTTTTAGTACACAAATGAATGGAAGCAGTTAAATGGATAATAAAAGGATTAAAATAGAAGAATAAAAAAGTATTCACGTGAAAGGATGAAGTTACAGAACAATGCAGATCCTCATCCCCAACTCCAAGTTGATCTTCTTTTATAGTCTCTTCGGGCATCGGCTTTGCAGTCTACATCCACAGCCGTTTCTCAGCCCCTCCCCAACTGTACCCTGTAAAAAGAAGACAAATACTAACACCTCTTACTAGTAGCTTTTTTCCTTTCTTTGTTTTTCTTAATCTTGATCCCTTTTCCTTTTTCTGGTTAGAAGTGAATTCTTAATTGCTTTTTTCTTTTCTATTGGTTAGAATTCTTAATTGCTTGGGTGGATAGAAGTTGTTCTATTGGTCTGTCAACCGTCTGTCTAAGGTCTAAGCTTTTAAGGACAAACTCCATTTTGTATTGCTGAACTTCCATCACTTTTTACTTTATATTCCAATTTTGATTTTGAATACTCTTGAACTCTCAATTTTGGATACTTTATATCTTAAAATTTTAAATTTATCCTAATTAATGACAACTTTAGCAAAAATAATGGCATAGAGGATTCAATAAATTAACAGCAATGCGCTGAAAATGGTCAAAATGTGCCAAGATATTGTAGCAAAATAAAGTAATATATTGCGATTTATTTGTATTATCTTTTATCTTATTAATTTTACTAATAATATTAGTGCTTGTGATCATATCAATCAATGACAATGTACTAAAAGTGAACAAAAAAAGGTTGCAGGATTGTAATTAGAACAAAATGGTATGTTGTCCTTAATTTTCATCATCCTTTGTCTCATTAATTTTGAGAATGTAATTATTGATTAGATTTAAATAAGACAAACTTGATAGTAAAGGGTCCAAAAAGTCCAAAATTAAGAGTTTAGGGTACAAAGTGTTCAAAGTCAAAATTTAGGATGCAAAATAAAAAAGTGATCTAAGTCTAAGGGTGTAAAGTGAAGTTAGTCCAAGTTTTAATACAGTATGACACATTTGCCACTTCATCAATAACTTATTTAACTTGGATGGAGTTAAGTATCTCGTCACTTTTCAATTGATCAAGGACACAAATTTCTTGTATAAATACTTTAAGTTGTAAAGTGCAGTTAGAGTAATAATATGTGGAGATTTTCTACAATTAAACTCTTGTTAAATCCTTGGATAAAAGTTGGTCTATTAGTCTCTCCAGTAATTAGTAAACAAGGTGTTAATTCAAATTTATTGCACTTCACTAGAAAACTAAGTGGATGGGTCGGACCGGTTCAACAAGTCATATTTAAATAATAGGCATTATTAGGTTAACTTATTTAATTAATAGGTTAAAATGGAAAACATTTAGATTGCATAACATAATTGGGTCAATAAAAAAAAATTAACTATTCGTGAATTAGTGTGACGGGCTAAAATCTAGTTGAAATTTATTGCACTTTGGTGAGACTATGTAACAGTATAGCTATCAACATGGACGGATCAATTGGATTTGACTGGTAATATCTTTCTATATATAAAGCATGAGGAGGGGGTATGGTGATAAAATTTTATGTCATTTTTTTATTTTTCAATTTTATCTCTATAAAAATTAAATATTTATTAAGAATAATTACTTAATTATTAACTTTTATAACTTCCACACCCAATAACTTCTATTTGTTTTTTTTATTTATTTGTCAAAAAATTCATAACTTCTTTTTTTGCCAAAAAAACTTCTATTGATTTTAATAAAGACAACTTAATTTTTTCTTAATTTGCACATTCAGACGAGTGTGCTTTTCCCATAGTTTAGATAATGGGTATAATTGGATTAATTAATGTAATTAATGGGCCAAAATAGGTAAACTTTAGATGGGTATATATGTAATTGAGTCAAATTATTTATAAACCACCTAAAAGTTGACTTTTTTCCCCTCACATCTTGTTTAGCCAAAGTAACCATGTATTTGGATAGAAGATAAGTTGGAAAAAAAAATTTCAGAATAATGCAGCATCTTTTTCATTTTTTTTTGTGGATTTGGTGTATATGAGATTAAATGGTAATTGGGAAAATAAAAAATATTTAAATCACTTGGTTATGAAGCATTAGTTTTTTATTTTGCAAAGAGGAGCTAGCATGTGATAAAACATTTAAAAAGAAATTCAAGTTCGTAAATAAAACTGTGACACCCCCACCTCCTCCTAAGGCGAATCGAAGGGTTCGGCGGACCGCCTGCCCAACTCTCGCCAGGAATCGATCATTTTCTTCAAGTGAAAAGATATAATCTCGAGACTAAGCGAAATAACAATTCCCAAACTTGAAACATATACTTCCATTCATATCCATCTCAAACAGAAATACAATCCCAATTATAACAAAAGTTTTAAATTTCCAATACATCAAACCTTATCCAAGCACTAGCGCGAGTACAATAAAAAAAAATTCAAAAAAACTAGACCAAACTAGTCTGTACAGGACTCACGCCCTCGCTCGCATCCCCTGTAAGGAAAACAAAACTAACGGCATGAGCTAAAAGCCTAGTGAAGTTCCATACACATAATTAAACAATTAAGTCCAAGATATTAATCATGGAATAACAAATAAACCAAAAAACATTTTCAATATAAAAATCAATGGTAACACATTCATTAAAAGGATACATGCTTACGTGGAGACATTCGTTCATTCATTTACAAACCATTTCCTTATTCCTCCAACATTAAAAATTTACATTTGTAAGTGAAAACCCCTCCATTGTTCTTGCCATTCATTCCATTTTCCCCCTACTAGCCAACTCACTGGCCAGTCTCCACCAGACTTCGTGGTCATACTCGAGTATACCAAACTTTTCCCAGGGTCACGAGTCGCCCGACTGAGTCCGCTTCTAACTCGAGTCGACCGGCAACGAAGGGCAAGCGTCCAGTTCGGCCAAAAGGCTTACATTCATGCACAAGTAGCATTTAATCATTCAATCGTTGAAAATTTCACGTTCATTTAGGTCGAGTGCGATAAAGTACACACTCGCCTAACAAAATTCATTTTTAGCAAACCTTGGAAACATAACGTACATCAATCACTTATTAAACCAACAATTCAAATAGTCACAACAATTCACATAGTCATTGGAAACATAACGTATATAGAACACTCACCTATTTAAGCAAAATAACGTCCAAAGTTTCCTTCCAAATAGCACCCTCAATCACCAAGAAACCCTAAGAATAACCAAGAGAAAATATTACGATTCAACCATCCAAAGTTTAGCTGAATCAAAGAAAATCCGAATAACTACAAGTACAAGGAGATAAAAAGGCGGCTTTGGAGTAAAAAGGTAATGGTTGGTCCTAAGAACATAAATGACCCCAAACCCTTCACTTCTGCCAAAACCATACCTACAATGATTTACTAACTCCGAACTTAAGGTAGAAAATGAGAGTAAGGACACTTTTAGGAAAACAGGATTTTCCAGTTTTACGCACATTTGAAAAATCATATCTCAAGATTCTTAAGTCCAAAATTAATAAAATTTATACCGTCAGAAAATAGACTCAAAGGGATACAATTTCTCAGAAGACACATTTATAAGATTCAGATCATAAGTCTGTCAAATTTGAGACTCAAATTGCTATTTTATCCAGTAAAAGGCAGACCAGGAATGCAATTTCAGTCAAATTTGAAAAATCACTATAAATCTCACAGACAGAACCAGGGTCTGAAATTTTCACAGTTTATAGCTCTATGAATCTAGTTTAAAACGCAATAAACAGAACTCAATTCTGATATTTCTACAACAAGATACAGCAAATTTCCCAAAACTGCTCAAGAGTTCCTGCGGAAAATTTCAGCAACACTTCCCTTGTTTTTCCTTTACTTTCCATGTTACAACCAACCACCAAATCTCATAACAATCAACCAAATTTCACATATACATCATAGGCTATTAAACTTCCTTAAAATACAATCAATTGCTAGCTCCAAAACTAACCCTAATCATGCTCAAATTAGGAACCCTAAAACTGAAATTGATGCACCCCAAGCTGAAATTTCTTTAGGCAAATGAAACTAACACCAAAACACTAGATTTTTCACATATCAAAACTAGTAAAACATGGCCAACCATTAATCATCACATGAGGCAGAAAATTCTCTAAGAAAACTGAAAATCCACACATCACCATTTCTAACCCAGAAATATTGCATAAAACTACCAAAGTGGCAACCACAAGCCACTAATTTACAACTACTAGGAACTGTGACAGCCACACCTTCCCTTAAAGCGAACCAAAGAGTTCGGCGGACCGCCTGCTCAACTCTCGCCGGGGCTCAGTCACTCACTACAACCCTCAATTAAATGCCAATACACATCTCAAATATTACATCAAATGTTCCACAAATTTACATATCATAAGTGAAACGAATACTTCTCAATTGCACTACCAACTAAACCTCAAGAGATAAAAACAATACTAATTTCTTGGATAAGACAAAGGTTCTCAGCTCTCACATAATTATATTTACAATCTCAATCTCAAATATTACACAAGATAAATCTAAAACTCCAACGGTACATGAAATCATCCAACCATTCACACAGAAAACTTTAAT